GGGGTTTAAACTCACATAGGCGTCTTTCTAAAGGACACTTTACAGCATTACCTTGGCACACCTGTTACATATAGCTTACAGTAGTAGAGGCATAATGATCTTATGGCTTTCATTTCCATGAAATTAGAGGGACATGCAAATTTTAGCATTGCAAGCCCAATGCTATTTTTTGGATTGCACACATGGACAAATATAATACTTGCTCCTGTTTCTGAAAGGCAGACACCTGGAATAACTTTTAAAAATTTTGTGTCACAATGAAGAAAGTGTAAACTTTGGCTATGAAGTTAAACATCTCTCTCTCTTGAAGAACATTAGTAAAACCCTTGAGAAAACATCCACTGCATCACAGAAATGTCTGACAGCTGCAAACTTGAAACCCTCCCCTCTCCTCAGCCTTTTACCCTACCAGCCCATCCCCTTGGGTCTTGGNTTTTTAAAACTTTGCCAAAAGTTGTGTCTTATTATGCTTATCAAAATTTTATACTGTAAAAAAATTTCACTGCTTTTCTTCCCAATACTGTACAATTTGTGACTAGCAAATAATGTAGTTCAGGGGTTTAAACTCACATAGGCGTCTTTCTAAAGGACACTTTACAGCATTACCTTGGCACACCTGTTACATGTAGCTTACAGTAGTAGAGGCATAACGATCTTATGGCCTTCATTTCCATGAAATTAGAGGGACATGCAAATTTTAGCATTGCAAGCCTAATGCTATTTTTTGGATTGCACACATGGACAAATACGCAGACACCTAGAATAACTTTTAAAAATTATGTGTCACAATGAAGAAAGTGTAAACTTGGGCTATGAACTTAAACATCTCTCTCTCTTGAAGAACATTAGTAAAACCATTGAGAAAACATCCCCTGCATCACAGAAATGTCTGACAGCTGCAAACTTGAAACCCTCCCCTCTCCTCAGCCTTTTACCCTACCAGCCCATCCCCTTGGGTCTTGGATGTCTCACCCTCCCCTCCTCTCCCTCTCTTGCTTTCGTGGGCAAGGTAGATGACTACTAAGGATTACAGACTTTTGAATGCCCTGTCAAGAAAGTGAGTGCCCTTCTCTCGGATCTGCCAGTATCAAAGGATCTTTGCTAATGTGTGTGATGTGTATTTAGTACTTCCTTTGAAATATTGCACAATGACTAACATCGTAGATTAATTAATGTTTTCTTTTGTGTCATTTCAGTAAGTTCATCATGGGGGCATGGAAAGATATGGAGAACCAGAAGAAGAAAAGACAAGCCCGATTAAAATTAGGCAAGATGAAAAAGTTGAAATAATAATAATAATGAAAAAATGGAGTTCATGTGATATGGTTGCACAAGATGTTTGGTTATTGTTTTTACTACCATGTGTTATAAAACACCCTTCAATGATTATTTCATATCCTTGGATATCTTTTTAATTTTAGGGTCAGTTTTTCATGGACTCATGGTAGATGTAAACTTAAGGTTTAAAATGTGGATATCAATCTTTAAATCGCTGTGTGAGATCAATTATTTGATATTTAAACAGAGCAAGAGTTCAGCAATACAATATTATTGTTGACTCTATTATTAGTTGTGTTAAGCAGCAGGCTTGACTGTGTATCACATTACAACACAAAAATAATTATTTTGCTCCTATTAATGGGAGATATTGTTTTATTACAATTTTATTTTGATGCAATAGTTGCAGCTTAATGATTGTGTTTGCCACATTTCTACTATTTGATGCAACAGTATTAAGGTTATCGTAACTTTGCAGTCTCCACAGATCCATTATAAATTAATCTCACTGAGGGTGATCAAGCCCTTTTGAATTTTGAAAGTAATAAAAAAAAAATATTTCACAAAATGTTTCATGAATGTTCTGTGTTATTGATATAAATTAAATCAATATCTATTTACAGTAACAATCTCAGCTTGCTAAATGATAATGATCCTCTGGGAAAGACAAGGTATGTGTGTTGAACCAGTAGCTGAGACTGGAAAACAATTCACACTTTACACTAAACAGCAAGAATTTAACGAACCTGTATGTTTCATACTAGGATGCTGAAAGGAAATATTGGTTCTATTATATTATTGAATATTCCCTCATGAAAATTTGTATGACCACTGATCATAAATTATTTTAAGAATCAAAAACTACTCATCTAGCGTTGTATATTTGCTAATACAGTTTACTATACCTCTCGCTTACTTTGCATGCCAGGACTGATCAATTTAGCAGGCCATTTTCTAGCGATACTGTAAGCTGAAACCATTTTTGTTGACAAATGGTCTCATTATTTCACGGCCAAGTTTGCTTAACATGCATGGCAAAACAGGCATGTAATATGGTCCTTGTTTGTCAAAATTTAGAGAACACCAATAATTAAAACGTTATAACTACTTGCAGGTGACTGGTCTTGTTTTTCACATGGGTCACTCATTTAAAGTTGTAATGATTTCCCAAACCCATTGGACAAACAGGAAAGATATAAAATCTTACTAACTTTGTCTTCTTGGTCCATACAGTAAGTTATGGTAGATCTTTGTCCCCCCCNCCCCTCAATTTATGGCCCATACACTTAGCACTTAGACCAAACAAAATTCATTAGTAAGAGGCATGTATTGACCATTTAATTTTGAGAGTGGACCACATTAAACTAAACAGTAACAAAAGAATGTTTGACTTCACTCCAGACATGTTCTTAGTATAGTCAGATACCCCACATGATCTTGGTTGTGCTACCTGATCAGTATTGAAATTTTTTGAACTTTGTCTTCTAAGAACACATGCTATTTAGGAATTTATTACAATAATAATTTTTGTCATGACAGATTGTCAGATATTTATCTGACATAAAATCTCATTCCTGTAGTTTATTGACCTGACATTTTCCCTTGTGGTAAATTTTCTCACACTCTTAGTATTTCTTACAGCTATATGGCACCAGTAGCCTGCAAACGCAGACGTATTTCCGGCCGTCACTTGGTTCCGCCGAAAAATAATGTCTGCAAACCTGAGCCAGGAAACGATTTCTGTGACGTAATGACTTTTGTTTCTCCTTGGCCAATCAGATTCCATGATAGAATGAAACTCGAGTGCTCCTCGCAGTGAATACCACGCGCAGTAAATCTGGGGTTATTTGAGCTAAACTGTGATTGGCTTAGAATTCCTACGTCACAGAAATTGTTTTCTGGCTCAGGTTTGCAGAAGTTATTTATCGGCGGAACCAAGTGACAGCCAGAAATACGTCTGTGTTCGCAGGCTATGGCACCAGTTGCTTTTTGAAGGGATAAACTAATACAATAGCAAATTCATCTGGATTGTACGGTTGACCTTATCACTTCATTGCCATTATCAGGACAGTAACTGGTCTGGAAATTGGTAATAAGGGACAGACTGATTTAAACATGGTTGCATAACTCCAGCTAAATGTTTTACCATCAATTGCTGCAGGTCGACAGCCAATTGTTTGTGTAGCAGAATAACATTTCTATAAACTGCTTCAGTAGGACCCTGTTAATCTGACAAACAATAAGGCCAGCAGTGTCTAGTCATAATGTGGTGATCACATTAAAATAGCAGGACTCATAAAATATTTAACAAATAAAGAAACCTAAGCCGTGTATTACACAGTGATAAAACACAATGGACATTTGAGAACACGAGGAAAATGTAGAAAACAAGAGCCACAGGCAAGTGTTTTCTACATTTCTCAAGTTTTCTCAAATGTCCGGAGTGTTTTATCACAGTAATACACAGCTTAGACTTCTTCAGGGTTGCTTTAGGATCTAGATTTTTCATGCGCAAAACAATAAAACATGCTTTTTGTATGTTTTATACTCTGATTTATAAAATGGGTTTTTGACCAATCAGCGCACGCAGAGTCCTTTCTACATTATAAAGGAAAATATCTGATAAACTTTTGTTTGGGCCAAAGAGAGCAGTCAGTTGAATTTGCTTCCATACATCACAGCACAATCATGCTGTTGTGCAAGGTACTGTGGTGCCTGGAAGGGGAATGAACCAGTTTCTCACATAGTGCTATGGTTTTAAAGTAAAGGGAGTAATCCCAAGCAGTGAAACAGTGGTGTTACAAAGGGTAGGTGGTTGAGTTTGCCAACTTAATCAGGTAATTAGCCCAGAGAGTGGCCAGCTGATGCAAATAGTGACTTTGCCAGCAGAGGCCTACTTTTGACGACTCTGGTGACAATTAAAAATGTCAACAACAGGTTTATAACTTTACTTCATGTAATTGCGTACCTACCTGGCTAACTACTATTTCATAGAAATGTCTAGCCAGTAAGATCATATTATTATTACTATTAATAACATATTTAGTTAATATAAGCTCTATATTTCAGCAAACATGCTGTGTGCTATTCCTCAAAACCACCAGAACCGAACATAAATCATAAGCACTACAAAAATTGTTCCTACAGCAGCGTATTTGGCATAAGAAGAACGAAGATTCAAGTAGGTTGCATCTTTCTTGTATTTTTCAGACTGGAACCTTAGATTTCCTGCCTTGTCATCTAACACTAGAAAAAAAAGAATAACGAATTCTTTGTTCACTGAGGTTAAACAAGCTAATTAAATCTTCATAAGTGTGAAAAGCAGTATCCATGCCTTGTGGTTCAACACATAAATTATTAATACAGACATCTTGTTATAAGTAAAGAGAGGTTTTAATCCCTAGCCCATATATTTTCTCTTAATATTCATTCAACATAGATGCAATGGTAATACATACACCTCCTGCTATCTGAATAAAAGACATGTTTCACAATTTTTGCACCATTTTCTACTGGAACGAAGAAACTGAATTCATGAAATTTGATTTCTGCAAATGCCAAACAATAAACTTATGAATAACTTTGTAAAATACATAAAGTTGAGTGATGCTGGGTCCAAAGGTGCTGATCTGTTTTCTGTTTCTTACATATGTTTTTCTGTACAATTTCTCACAAACAGCCTGATTCTGTCTTGAAAACAGTAATTGTCCAGACAGTGAAAACAGATTGAAAATTAAATATACAATCTCATGCCTCAATTTTTTTTTATTCCTACCGATATGAAAATGCTAGCCTGACTGGTCCCCCTTGTAACTCACAGACATACCTGAAATTTGTTCCCCTCTTTGAAGAACATCATCAATGTTTTGAACCATAATTCTCTGTACATCATGGAGTTCATCATTTAATCTGTTTAAATTTCTTCTTGTTCTTGAGTCCTGGTAGTTCTTTCTTGCCTTTTGAATGTATGTGTCTAAAAGACAGCACCTAGTTACTTACTTTAATACTATGACAGCATCTTGTTTAGTACAATTTGGTGAATGCAATTTTGGTACATTATATTAATCTCTGTCTTGGAATATACTTTTGTCCAGTCAAAGTTTATCTTCACCACAAGTTGTGTCCTTGAACAAAACGTTTTACTCTCACAGTATCCCTCTCCCCTTGAGTATTAATGTCTTGCACATTATTGGGACAATCTAAACAATGTTGCAGGGCAACCTGTATAGGACTAGCAACTTACTCAAAGCCACTTCATGCTAAGGAAATCGGAGTTAAGCACCTGCCTATATATAAAAGCCATAACATTATTGGCTTTCAACAGACTTTATCTTATCAATACAGTAACCAAGTGGCAAGATTTTACCAGACAGTTAGATTAATAACAGGGCTCCATCTGACGAGACTCTAGCAAAAAACAACTTAATGAGAGAATCACAACGTAGTACTATGTAAATGCTCACCAAATTCAATGAATGAGTAGGGTCTAGTTGCTGTAGCAATTTTGTGACCAAACTCCCTGTGAAACTCAGAAGATAACTCCTCAAGAAAACTAAATGCTGCTCTTTTGGAGAATGTCTTGTCGGTTAATGTCAAGAAACACACACCATTTTCGATAATGTAACTGTTGACAAAAGGAAAAGAAAGAACAATATCATTATCACGGTCTTGACAATATGTCATAAAATCAAATATTACTCTGCATGTTGTCAATGCTTCATAACAGTCACATGTAAATATCAACACAACATCCAGAAAAACATATTTTTCAACTCCTCTATCACGTTGTTACAAGTCTTGAGGTCATGACCCACATTTTATTCTAAAGTGCAAAATCCAAATGGCAAAACTCTGTTACGGTTAGAATATTGGGAAAGAAACATCAAGAAAATCCAAATGGCAAAAATCTGTTATGGTTAGAATATTGGGAAAGAAACCTCAAGTAAGCAAAATGTTGTTGGTTCCTGGTCGAAAATGCATGCATCAGTCGTAACACATGTACTATGGTAGTTCTGGCACTGAAAAACACAAAATTCAGTGGTCTCCATGACAATTTTGTTAGGTTTGTTTCTTTGCAATTGATTGAAATTCTAGGTGCTTTAAAAAAAAAAAAGTCAATGGTGTCATGTGCCCCTATAGAGCAATATAGATACACATATAGAATAGACCTAGATGTAACTGCAAGAAGCTTTTATTATTAAAATAAAAAAAATTATTTTGGTACGGATTGCCATCTGTGTTACCAATGTGATTGCTTAGCTCTGCTATTTAATACATGTACTCACTGAAACATCATTGTTCCAGTTTCAATGCTGCTTCTTGCTGGTGAGTGGTCTGTGAGTTTTCTGAACAACATCTTGGCTTGTGCTTGGTAGTCCTTAGTGGTCTAAAAGAACAACAAAATACAAATGGTTAATTTCTTTCAAAGGAAAAAACAAAAAAGCTGGAGGTACTGTTGTACTGATTTTTGTATAGAAAGTAAGCTTTGTGGCCACTCCTTTCCTAATATTGATCTGACAAATTTATTTTTAACAGATCTGTGCAAAGTTAATGGTACTTGCTGGTAGTGTCCGAGGTGTGCATTTCTCAGTTTTGTTTCAAATCTCTCGACTTTCGCATTTGATATTTTTAGAACATGTGACAGATAAATCTCTTTTGATTGGATGAGAGTATATCATAGGACACATAATGAACAGGTATCTCAACAAGCTATCCACCATTTTTATGACCCAGGTTCTGCAGGTTAACAGCTACCAGTGCTAGAACTTTGGACTGACATGCAAGTAATGAACCGCGAGATCTTAATAAATTTGTGACCAAAACCTGCAAATGTGTCATCTGCAGCTAAGTTGATTAAAATTTGGAAACCTAAATTAATTCTCTTAGTTGCAGCATATAAAAGAACACTAACAAGCCTACGCTGGTTTTCTCTTCATGACCCTCAAATGTATAAAAGCAGGTTAACTAGTAGTAAAGTGCTTAATGGTTACCATATGCCTAACCAGCAGAGATAAACAATTCAACCTCTTCCTTGTCAAAATTATACTGACTGTCCTTAGACAGACAGACAGACAGACGACAATTGCAGCTCTCTATAAAATCAATTATATTTACAGGGACTTCAAATGTAAATATTTCAAGTAGTTGTAATGTAGCTGTAAAACATATATTTTGGGACACGTGTACTGTAAACATCAAACAACGTTTACTTTTGTGAAGCCAGCAAATTGAATGTGCAAGACAGTCTCGGACTGTGAATGATGTACGTTCTTCAGTGTTCTTTGAAATCTGGACGTTTGCGAGAAAGCAGAAAATATCAAGCGCTGTTTGAAAGATAACATATATACCTGTATATTTATACTTATAAAAAAAGGCTGCATCATATAAAAGAAAACTGACCGTACAAAAAGAGAGTTGAGCTTATGGGTTTGGTGTTACATGGTACATGAACTTACGTCTTGATCACTTTGCGTAGAGGCTGCCAGTGGTAAGCCGTCAATAACACGGCCTATCATTGTCATCACAACCATCCTGATGAAATGCTATCTTTTTGCTCGTGTGTAGTACAATAAAAAGCCCAAAAAGCAACTGTATGGTAAAGCTATTTTCCGGCAGTTTGTACACTTTCGTTTAGTACACGTGGATTGCGCTTGCGTGTTATACACTGTTTTGAATGACCGCTGGGTTACTTGCAGGCGCGCATTCAAAATGGACGTTCTCTTCGTGGGTTTGAGTTTCCTAAATTTAGGTTGCTTTCTTGTTAGTTTGTTGTACTTAATGAAGAGTTATATCCCTGAGTGGCTACACGACATTTTTGAATGGGGAAAGACTAAGCGTGAGTTAAAGCAAAGCAGCTGGACTCAGTGTCTCCATGTCCCAAACAGGTGGGAGGAAACGTCTGGCTTGTCAGACAAATGGTCAGAGGTTACCGAGAGGTCACATGTATCGCGTATAAGTTATTGTGCAAGAGCTAAATATAGCAAGTAATCTTAAAGATGTAGCAACGTCATTATTGGTGATCATAACTTCTTGACGTGATAAAGATTTATATAATACGATTGTGATCCATATATGGCCTGAGTGTAAAGGGAAAATAGGCGGGGAGGGGGTGTGGGAGAGGTTGTTCTCAAACATGTCATAGGTATTTTTTCTGTCTGAATTAGATAGTTCTTGCCTTGCTCGCTCTGAAACAATAGCAAGTGCAAGTTTTATTTTTGTGCTTGCCTATAATTATTAGCACCATTTCAAATGTTGGAAGAAGACGTGAAAAGCTTAACTGTAACTCAGTTGTCGAAAAACATATTCTTGTATGGTTCTAACCTCACTGCTTCTTCAGGTGTGAAAACAGTCCTATTGTGTGTGCCGTTAATAGAGGAGTTCATGCTCTAAGGGGGCATTATGGGTAATCAGGGCAAGATTGCAAAGAAACAAAGTGGCAAAATATATGTTTTTCTTCATATTTCTGTTCTGAGTTTCATTTTCGAGAAGAAACTTTTACTGTAAATAGAGAAACCCCTTTTCTACATTCACTAGCATTTTTGAGTTGATTGAGTGAGGCATTAGCCTACCTATCAGAGTATCAGAGACATTTTTGTGGCTTGAGCAGCTAAGACTTACAAAAAAACACTGCCCACAAAAAACACTGGTGAACCTAGAATAGGCGTTTTTCCATCTACAGAGTATGTTTTGTCTCCAAATGTGAAATCAGAATGGAAATATAAAGATAAACATTTGTTTTACGGCTTTGTTTCTTGTAAATTTGTCCTGATTACCCATAATGCCCCTTAGAGTGTGAACTCCTCTATTGAGAAGTAACAAGTCCTCAGGCCAGGCTTTTTAGATAGCCAACTGGTCAGCCTAGTTACTGCCCTGGGGGGGAAGGGGGAGCACTCCCATATAAAAAGGTCGGAAAATTTGAAACCAAGATCATGTTTTGTGGTTGTGGCCAGCTGAGATTTTTTTCACCCCTAAGAGGTACCAATTCTAAAACAAAACATCTCCTGTTATAATTTTTCTTCTCAATACCCTAAAAGGTACTGCAAAAGCTCCCGTGGTGGACCCTTCGAGGCTGAACACTCTAAGAGATATCAAAACCACTTTTTTAACCCCTTTAAGGTACGAGGAGCACCCTGTCCTTTTATATGGGAGTATCCCCCCCTCCAGAGCTACTGCCAGTTGGTAATATTTATAACATACATATGTCTGTACTTTCTTCTGTGGGCAATAATCTGTTTATTTACAGTGTCCTCAGTTGACACAGCAATGCTAAGGAAATTGATACTTAAAGAAAGTCAGTATACTTTTTGCTATTCTCTAACTCATTAGTGTCTTCTTTATTTTTCAGCTGGTTCACTCATTTCTATGTTGCTGGAAGTTCTCTGTCATGTGCACTTCTCTGGATGTTGCTAAATCATTGTGTTTACAGTGAAACTTCAATGACAGATGGTCTAGCTCAAATACTGGACCTAAACTACAATCCTCATGTCAACTGCTTCACTGTTCTGGTATCTCTTCTTCTTCTGCTGGTACAGACTTGTCGCAGATTGTTTGAATGTTTGTTTATCAGTGTGTTCTCAGGCAAGATTCATTTATCACATTTCTTGGTGGGTGTAGCCTACTATTGTTTGGATGTAACTTCCATTGCTACATCATTCCTCAGAGTAGAGAAAAAAGACAGAGGTGGGTGTAGGGAAATATTCTAAACAATTATGAGATAAATATTTTTGTATCACTGTACGATAAATCTCTTAGCATTCTGTTTACAACACTTCCTTTCCTTGATTATTCTTGATACCAACTAAACTTAGTAAATCTTATCATATAACAATACCATGTACTCAAATTAGTATAGGTA